TTAAACACCACCTATTTAATCATACCAAATTCCTAGTACTCCATGTTCTTAATTTCTTCATATGTATGTTTTGCTAATGCAAATCAGAATGTCTTGTTTTTCTACTTAACAACATTTCAGTATTTCTTAAATTATTTCTCCTTATCATTTCCTCAGATTTTTATTTTATTAGATATGAACTTTTACATTAAACTATAATATACAGACTGAAAAGAACAGAAGTCATAAGTGTACAGCTCAATGAATTATCTCAAAGTAAACACACCCATGAGAACTTGTTTTGAAAACAAGGCTCTCTTTCTCAAGGGCCATGTTTTGGACAGGAAATTTTAATGTAAACACAGCTGGAACTTAGTTAAAGTGCTGGTTTTATTCAGTAACTACCTACAATAGGGAAAGAGGTGGGCTCCATTGGGTTTGGGCAGAAGTGACTGGGTAAGTTTTCTAGAAAGAAGAAAGAGTAAAGTGAGGACTTGAGTGGAGACAGGGAAGTGAAAAATTACGAAAAGTGGTTAAAGGGGTTGGTCCTCATGAAACACATCTGGTTTACTAACTGGCACTTATTGGAATTCTGCTCCTACTGTCCCACAGAGACTGAGACACAGTCACTATCTTGAGGTGTTGGTTGGAACAAATGATAAATTTTGGGGGCAGCCTTCAGTTTTCTCAGTCAGGCACTTTAAAGGAAGATGGGGATTTCCTAGGGAGGAGGCCTTGGGTTGTTAGAAATATCAGTGTTTGTTCAAGTCTTTATAGGCTAAGGCTGAGGCCTAGTCAAGAAGAGGGCTCAGAGGAGTCTAGCTAGAGTTTGGTCAAGGAGAGAATCTTTGCAGTGCAACTGACCCACAGATTTCAGGACTGTTAAAATAATTCTGGGTCCAATTCTACTCAATGTCAGGACCCCCAATCTCCATTATGTTGAGCAAAAAAGTAGCCCAATGTATTTCCAAATGCCCCATCTCACAAAACCCACCATGCTAGATAATGCCTAAGGTTATCTCCCAGCTTTGAAATCCTATGTGATATCATCAACTATTTTGTCTCCATTTAAAAACACTGTCAAAGATACAGGCTGAAAAGACAGTGTGCAGAAGTGTAAATAGTGGAGGACAAAGGAGATTGTGGTCTTTCTTTCTCTGGAAATCAACATGGAATATACAATTCCTTGCCTAAATCCCTTTGTACAGATTCCCAGGGAAGCCAAGCAAGCAAATGGTCAAACCCTAAAGCAGACCCCGATTCAAATCCTGATTCTGCCATTTAACTATATGCAACTTGGCCATTCTCAGCCTCAGAAGCTAATACCTACTACTAAATATATATAATGTATCTAAGTCATCCAGCACATAGTTATAGTCTAATACAGTGAAATCTCCTCCCAACGTGTATGGCCTAGTGCTACTTAAGTTCCCCTCCTGGCTTGAATTCCATTTTCCAGGATTCCAATAGGATTCTCTCAAGCTAAAAGTCAAGACCTACAAACAAAATTCTTCAGAGAATTAAACTTTAGTAGAAGACTACTCAAACCACTCTGTAAATCAGTAATCATATCAATGTAACAATTTTTCTATAAAAAGTACAATTTTACACTCATTCCTATAGAGTTTTCAATATCACTTGTTGAAGCTTACCATGTGTCAGGCAGTTGGCTAAACCCAGATGAAACTAAAACTCGACTGAAGAAACTCACAAATTAGAGAAAGATCTCAAAGAACAACCCAAAAGCTAAATAAAATTTGTGACATAGAGCTAAGTTCTGCAATAGGGAAATATAGGGCATGATGGTGGAAGGAAATGGACACTGGAAAACAGAAAATTCTAAAAACAAAGAAAAGCCTATGCAAAGGGCTGAAAGCACTTAAGAATCTCTTGTTTTCAGAGAACTAAGATAAAATCACAGGTGAGAAGTGGAAGATGAGCAAGGTAGGAAAGGAAGATCTGATTCTGAGGATCCTTTTGTATCACCATACCCTTAGTTGCAAATTCAAAGACCAATTCAAGAAAAAATTAGTTTATTAAAACAAATTGGTGGAGGCTGGGGTTGTGGCTCAAAGGCAGAGCGCTCACCTAGCATATGCGAGGCCCTGGGTTGGATCCTCAGCACCATATAAAAATAAATAAAATAAAGGTGTTGTGTTCAACTATAACTAAAAATTAAATATTAAAAAAACATTTGGTGGGTTGGCTACATATTTTATCCCCTGGTTTGAGAGAGAAAGGGGGGCATTTAAAATTATTCTGATAGGTGTATAGGAGACATTACATGGATGGAATCTTTCAATCTTTGTTCCCTGAGAATGCTATAGGGAACAGCATGGGGCATGATAAGGCAGCCTTGCCAGTGTGGTGGTCATGGGTCATGCTGTGAAAACATTGCTGCCTGAGGAGCTGCAGCTCTAAGTCACCATTCTTTATAAATAAGAGACAGCCCAGATTCTTGGGGTTAGACATGTGGTAGAAATGATAATCTATGAGAAAAAAATGTTTGTTTCCAGAATTGAGTTTGCCACAAAGGAATGAACTTGACTTTCTCTTTTGCCAAAGAGTAGCCAGGCCTCTGAATCCTGAAGATCTGGGCTTTCATTATCCCCAAGAAGTCTCAACCCCTGAAATAGAAGCATAGAGGTTTTGGGTTTTTTAATAACTGCTACCTGCTTTGCTTGGTCAAATCCCTCCCCAACTGGGTAAAGGAGAACTTTAGCGATAGCTTCATCTGTTTTAATCCCTTTTTAGTCACATTCAGCTATCAAAACAGGGTAAATTTCAAAGATATGTATCTCTGATTGGAAAAGCTTACTACACCATGCTGCCAAGAGAAGGCAGACTGGAAATGTCAATTCCTGGGATACTATCTACCAACTGCCTTATCTTTTTATTTTTAAAATCAAATCAAACACAACTAGAACCACTCCCCCACATCAAAGTTACCAAAAGCACCTATCAACATTTTCTAAGGGAAGGGGCTCCATCTAGTATTAAACTAAAGAGCCTCACATGCTCTGTGAGGGTGCCTAGGCCTGTGTACTATTTGAAGGTGGGGATCTTCTCTGGAAGTTTAAACCTTCAGTGTCCAGCTGAGCCTAGAGAGGACTTCACTAACTTTTGCAAAGCCAAGGTCTTTGGTGGTTCCTGCTGGATGCACACAGGAAGCAATGCCCCCTGAGGGCAGCCACACCAGGCTTTTCAGCTTTGTGATCCAGACCCAAAGCCACACTCTTGGAATCTGCAGCAACCATCAGTTTCCATGTACTCCCTTTCTTCACATCTGTCCCCTGAGAGTGAATACAGGCATGTGGGGGGGGGGGCAGGTAGAAAGAAAGGAAAGTAAAGTGAAGGAAGGATGGCAAACCCTCCTACTGCACTACTCCCACTCAATTTCTTCCAGGACCACTCTACATCTTCAAGAGGCACCTTGCTTAGCTTTTGGAAAGAGAGTACTCCCCTGGACTTGACAGAGGAAACAGTTACAACTAAATATTCACTTGAAATTTACCCTGTTTTGATAGCTGGATGTGATTAAAAAGGGATTAAAACAGATGAAGCTATCACTAAAGTTCTCCTTTACCCAGTTGGGGAGCAATCTGGCCAAGCAAAGCAGGTAGCAGTTATACTTCAGGGGGTTGGGACCTCTTGGGGAGAATGAAAGCCCACATCTTCAGGACTCAGAGGCCTGGCTATTCTTGGCAAAAGAGAAAATCAAGTTCATTCCTTTGTGGCAAACTCAATTCTGGAAACAAACATTTTTTTTTTCCTCAATAGATTATCATTTCTACCACATGTCTTAACCCCAGGAGTTTAGACTTTCTCTTATTAATAAACAGGATTTTAAGCAGTGGATAGATTCATATTTGAGTTTCAGAATAGTCATCCTGGTTCATAGAATATTATCTTGTTTTCAAATTAAACGTTTTGTTTTGAGATTATTTTAGATTCACATGTAATTCTAAGACATAATACAAAGAGATCCTGTGGAGACTTTACCTAGTTTCACCCATGGTAACATCTTGTAAAACTGCCCAGTATCACAAGTAGGATATTGATAATGATACAGTCAAAATGGACAACATTTCTATCATCACAAGGATCCCTCAGGTGGCTCTTTTAAAGCAATCCCCACTCTGGTCCTGCCCTTCTACTTCTTAACCCAAGCCAACCACTAATATGCCTCATATGTTTGATGTGGTGTGGCACTAGTTCTCCAAAAGTACGAGATTTTAAGAGAAACTTAGGCAAATGGGAGGAGATGAAATGAGACATAAAGGGAGAATGCAAGAGAAAAGAAGAAATCTGGCCAGGTGGTGTATGCCCGTAATTCCCTCAACTCTGGAGGCTTAGGCAGGAGGAGGCCAGCTTGAGCAATGTAGAGAGACCCTGTCACAAAAAATTTTAACCCCGCCCCACAGGGGGGGGGGTCAAGTAGCTCAATGGTAGAGAGCCCCTGTATCCAACCCTCAGTATAATAGAGAGAGAGAGACAGAGAGAGAGAGAAGTCTTGCTGGGTGTCAACAGGTTTGCTGTGTGCTAGGTGCTGTTCCAGAAGCTAAAGATGCAAAAATAAGTCACAGTGTGGTAAAGCCACTTCAATGATGCATTCAATTCCAGGTATCACAAGCAAGTTCAGTTATGCCAAGTGTTAAGCATTATTAAGAAGGTGTGCACACTGGGGGGTGGGTAAGAAAATGTGGGCGAGAACTCGCATTGGATGGGAACTAGGAATTTCTCTGAAGAGGTAACATTTTCCTCTTCAGGAAAATGGGAAAGAAAGCAAGAGAAAGAAGGAAGGAAGTGAGGCGAGAGAAGGACAGAGGCAGAGAAAGAGAGAAGGGGAGAGAAAGAGAGGCGGGGGAGGAGAGGCGGGTGGTGGAGGGAGGGAGGGGATAAAGTTGGGGAAATACTTATAAAGAGAAGGAAAAGAAGGAGGGCTCGATGCGATCGGCACTCCGGCCTTCGGGCGTCGACTGCTAAGGTCTGCACAGGCCCGCCCCTGCCTTTCCCTCCCCTTGTCGCCCCTCCCTTCCCGAATCATCCCCCGGCCCAACCTGCGCGAGCTCTGAAGCGTCCGGCTTTCCAGAGAAGCCATGTACCGGCTCCTGTCAGCCGTGACGCTGCAGGCTGCGACCCCCGGGGGCCGGGCCTGGGGCTGCGGGCGGCGTGGGGCCCATCAGCGGGCTGGGCTGCCGCCGCTCGGCAACTGCTGGGTCGGGGGGCTGGGGCTGGGGCTGGGGCTGGCGCTCGGGGTGAAGCTGGCGGGAGGGCTAAGAGGCGCCGCCCCCGCTCAACCCCCGGCAGCCCCCGACCCCGAGGCGTGGCCTCAGGCCGTGCCGCTGCTGGAGCAGTCCCTCGCCCCGCGGTCTCCGCAGACCCCGGCGTCTCCCCACTCCCAGTGCTTCGCCAGAGCCATAGAGAGCAGCCGGGACCTGCTGCACAGAATCAAGGTGCGGCGACTGGGGAGGGGGGCGCTGGCGGCTGGGGTCCTTGCGCCCTAGCTCCAGTTCACCCCGAAATGGGGCCCCTTGGTGGTTGTATCTCCGGGCTGAACTGACCGCACCTTGGGCGGTGGGGTGCCGGTTGTCGGCTTCCGAGAAAGACTTCCCGTTTCCCGACCGCTAGATCGCAGTCAGAAGCCCTTGGGGGTTACCCAACTCCGGGCTGAGGTCACCGCCTGCTTGGGGGACCGCCCCTTCCCCCGCCAGGGTGCGGACTTGGCGCTCCGCTCGCGGTTACTTGCGGGGCAAGGCCAGAGCCCGGGTGGGCGGACCCGCTGGGTGGGCGGGGCCGCTGGGTGGGCGGGGCCCCTGGAGTCTTGGGGTGTACAGGGTTATCCCGCCTGTCTTTGAACTGTCAGTTTTTCCCCCCTTTGCTTCTAGGACGAGGTGGGTGCACCGGGAATAGTGGTCGGAGTTTCTGTAGATGGAAAAGAAGTCTGGTCAGAAGGTGGGCTCAGAAAAGTGTTATTTAGCGACCTGTTTTGTACCAATTGGTGAATAAAATATTGACTGTAGAGTGGTTGGAGTGAATCCCATAAATTGTTTGCTGTTCAGTTTAAATTAAGTGATACATATTGTCGAAATAACGTATACAGAATGAAGAATTAGGTTATTTTTATTTATTTTTTTTGGTTGTAGATGGACATAATATCTTTATTTTTTTATTTATTTTTATGTGGTGCTAAGGATCAAACCCAATGCTCCACACATGAGAGGTGAGCGCTCTACCACTGAGCCACAACCCCAGTCCCCAGGTTGTTATTTTTTAATCACAGCAAGACTTAAAATGTGACTAACAGGGCTGGGGGTGTAGCTCAGCAGGAGAGCACATACTTAGGCTCTGGGTAGTCCCCACACCAAAAGTGATAATTAAACTGTGACTACTAAAAAAATTGGAGACTTAAAAAATGGCTTGTTTCTAACCCCAGTTTTAGGACTGGATTTATTGGCTTGAAAAGGGTATATAGAACAATCCATTAAATATCCACTATTGCATATTTGTAGATAGCCCTAATGGGTAGATAAAACACCAGAATTTCTGTATTTTTCTTTATAAATCCAGTCAACAATTTAATGAGTTTTCTATTCTGTAAAAGGCATTGTTCTGAATACTAGAGATAACACTATTCATTGTCCCTAATGAGTTTACAGTCTTACTTTATTATTCTTTTTGCTGCACAGAATATTAATTACATTTTCTAATAAAAAGCTGGAAGCTTTGAGAGAAGCATTTCTATTTATTTTGTGACACTTTCATCAAAAAATTATAAGGTAACTTCTCTAATGCACATAAATTGGTCCAGTAAGTCACCCTAGGTTTTTAGAAATCCTATTTTTTAAATTGAAGTTTCAGATAAGAGAGTAGTAGTTTTTGGAGAAGTTGGTGGGAGCAGTAGGGTTTTGAAAAATTATTTTTCCCCAAGTATAAGTATACTTTGTATCAGTATACCTAATTTATGAAAATATTATAAATGCTAACCTTATGGGTGAGAGTTTTGTTTTTATGCAAATATTTTCAGAATACAGTTTAAAAACAGTCGTTGTACTTCTTTTCAGAATTCAGTTCTTTATATCTCTTTGAATTCCATGTATTCACCACGTGCAAAAGATAAAACCCAAACAATTTTTTTTTGTAGAAGGAGATTTAAATTACTCCTACATAGTTTTTCTTATGGTTTGCAGCTGAATCAAATTGATAGTTGGATTTGCTTTTCAGGACATCTTTTCACATTCATTTTGATTGAATGACTATTTTAAGGACATCAGCAGAAACTAAAAAATCAAGAATGATTATAATCTGAAGAATATTGATTTTTCTTTTTTCGTTATTTCTTTAATACTGAGGATTGAACACAGGACGTGTTTACCACTGAGCCAAATTCTTAGTGCTTTTTATTTTTTGAGACAGGGTCCTGCTAAGTTGCCAAGGTAGTAGGATCCCAAGTTGCCAAACTTGGGATCCTACTACCTCCGCCTCTGGAGTTGCTAGGATTTCAAGCATGAGACCATGCTCAGCTATGAAAATGTTTTCTTTAAAGAATGTAATTTATTTGAAATGTGTAATAATCAAATTGTTAACATAAGCTAAGAAAAATTAGTATTTGAGTCAGATGAAAAATTATTATACACAGGGTACACTTTCAGTTTAGTTATAATGTTAAAAGTGTTAGGTTTTAAATTTATTTAAATATTGTACTTCCATTTAATGAACATTTCTGGGCATTATTCTGACCCTGATACCTTAGTGAATTCTCTGTAGAAAGATTTTTTTCTGTTGACTTTTGGGTTCTCCTGGATTTTAATATCATTTCCAATTTTATATTTCTCATTCCCCTTTCTTGTATAATTTCATTTGTCATTCCCTGACTGGAGGTTTTAGAGGAGCCGGACTTAGTCAAAGAGAAGATTGGTGTTCCTCATAGGAAAGGATGCAAAGTTGTAAAGCAGCATGGTAGATACTGGGAAAGAGGAGACATAAATAATATCACAGTGACAAAGGTGTGAGGTTGAAGGAATTGCCCTGTAAGAAAGTTGGATGGTATGTGGATGAATGTGATGAGGGTTTTGGGAATGAAAGAAATAAAAAGCTCAGGCAGGAGTAAGACAGACCTATCTGAAGGTAGTAAATCAGAGGTTAGAAATGCCTTCAGGAAATAACTGAATGATTCTGGATGAAACATGATAGAGATAAGCAATGTCTGTGGGAGGGTGAGAGAAGGATGGTAAAGACAGTTCCATAGTCTCCCCTTATCCATGGGGAGACATTCTAAAGAGTTTGG